AGTACAATAGTCTATTATTTCACGTCGTTGTCTCCGGGAGATGGTGGCGGTCCCCCATTTCATGAGAGAAAGGAGAAAGCATTCCCAGACCATTGTGTGGTTATGTCACAGGAAACTGTTTCGGCTGCGCATTGTGTTACATCTCCAAAACCCCACCAAGTTCCACTTCGCTCTGCTTAAAAAGTTGCTGTGACCGGTGTCATGACAATTGGGCAACTGGCATTTTCCGGGCAATAGGCGTGTGCGCCTCTCCGGGCCACAGGGAGCCCTCCCGAGGCGGGGAAATCTCTCCTTCACGCCAGCGAGGGATTGATTTCCTTTCTCTTTTTTTTCTTCCTTTTTTTTTTTTTTTTTTTTTTCCCCTTTTACCTGTGTCAAACTGAAGGGAGCGGGGTCCCGAGTGGGCTCCAGGCAGGCAGCCGCGGCTCGCCGCCGCCGCTCCCGCAGCAGCCAGGGGCTGGAGCGCCCATCCCCGCAGACGTGGGCTTTTCAACTTCCCTCGCCCGAAAACTTCAGCCTCCTGTCACTAGTGCAAGGAGGGGTAGCTAGTCGAGGACAAAACTCAAAAGCTGTCTCCCAGGACGGCAGTGAGCGATAGCTGAAAAGGGGCAGGGGGGTGGGTGGGTGGGTGTGTGTGGGGGTGTCTCGACTACCTTCTCGGCTGTGCTGGAGCAAACTGAATTAAAGAAGACAAGGCGAGAGCACCGCTTAAAATCTGGGAAGGTAAACGCTGAAGTACCGAACAGATTATTCAACTAAAAACGCAGTGTGTAAAGTCTTAATGTCTCTGTGTAGGCATGTTAATTTGCCACAGTTATTACCAATAAAAAGTGCATGTAATACTATTCTACTGTTTAACAGCGCAAATTGGACGGCATTTTACTAGTAACGGGTAGTACGATGGGAAAATTAGATTTCGGCAGGTGGAGCCGGGCAGACGAAAAACCCTTTCCCTGCGAGAAGCGTTCAAATCAAAGAGAGGTAACTCCGAGAAGAAGTTAAATACAGCCATGTACACTGACCGATATTTAAAAACGTTATTGACACGGTTTTCTGGTTTGTTTATCGCAAAGACTTCACCAGCTATATTTAAATGACCCCACTAGCTATTCGTTCTTCACATTGTGCAGAGTCAAATTAGTGGCGTACTTGTAATAATATGCATACCGTCTCCTTGCAGTGGGTAAATCCATTCCTTTCTGAAGCCACACAAAAATTATGCAAATCAAATCAACGCAAGAACTTGTCTTTTGAAATGATAATATTTTACTCCATTAATCTCTGATTGCGAAATTAACCCCGTTTCTTGTATATAAAACAATATTTTTGGACTGCACAAATTGAAACATCAGAAATGTAATCTGTTGCTCTCTGTGTTTGGGGGAAGGGGAGTAACGTCCCTCATTTAAACATTCCTTCCACCGAAATCACAACACTGCAATTTTCATAGGGGAAATATATGCAGATGGAGGTAAAAACAGCACCTACATTTTACACGGATGGACACGTATACTTAGCATGTATAACATAGGTATATGCGTGTACATATGTATGGAGATTTGTATCTCTCGTGTGTGTCTGTGCGTATCTACACACACTCTGAACTGAATTACATCAACTCTCCTGGGATCACGGTATTTATTTAAGTACTCTTCCCAGGTCATAACTGTAACACTCACTTAATAGCATTAATCCCTTGTTATAATGTAAACATAACGGCCATTGTATTCCCAATCTGTATTGTTCCACTAATTATTAAAGAGGAAGAACTAAAAGCAATCAATTCGCGTAGATAAGCACTTACTTACACCACTCCTGCTGGAAAAGAACTGACTTGGCTTCCCAAATAAAAATGCAGAGAGTATTGCACATTTTGCAAGGCATGCAGGTTGACTTAGAGAGATTCATGTATGACTTTATAATGTTATAATTAATTTTGCATTCTCACCTCTCCAGCTGCTGCTCCGTTCAGAAGCAGAGCACATATACTTAGAAATTGGTCTGCGGAACACAGGAATTGACTATTCAGATATAATCGCATGATATCGATTATTCCATAGAACTACTGAAATATGAATGTTTTATATAAAGCTCTTGATTTTAGAGTTTCTATTTTTATTTAATATATGCGCATTAATCACCAAGCAAGGAAGCAAATGTCTTTTCTGTAATCTGTTGCACTGAGTTTCCCAGTTGTTTATCACTCTCTTATCAGGAAGTCGGGAGTTAATGACAAGAAATACCTGTTGGTGTTAACCTCCTCCCCCTCACCTGCTTTTTTTAAAGGATTGCCTCTTCTACAGGCCAGCTGATAGATCTGGATAGGAATTAATCCGGTATGTCTGGTGGCCAGATCTCTACTGCTGCGTGCAGGGGCAGGGGTAAACTGGTATGTAGGGTTGCACAGGAGAAGGAGGGAAATAAAAAATAAAAATAAAAAAAAAAAAAAAAAAAAAAAACAGATAGAAACAGAAAATGGAAAGCTCGGATTGCTTCAGACGTTACACACGCATCCCGATACCTGACCGTAGTTGCAACACAGTGTTTTCCCCGCTGTGTCTGCGAGGCTATTGAAACGGCTTCGCGAAGTGTATTTTTAAATTATTATTATTAGTTGTATATTTAATTGATTAACAATAGGCTACCCTGCTAATCTGCATTTCTTCAGCTATTGTCATCTCCCCATCTCCTGTCGCTGGTGAGCCGATTCCCCGGCGTTCCTCAGCTCCATCCTACCTAACTGAAATTACCTGCGGGATGCCATGAAGAACTCGGCCGTAAACGTCGAGTGACTTCATTTAGTTAAATACGAGATAAGTGCTCGCTCACAGGTGTTGGAAAAATAAAACACAGGGTTTGATGAACATTTTTTTTTTCCCTTTTTTTTTTTTTTTTTTTTAATGTGAGCGCCGAAATAGTTGTTTGGTTTTGGTTTTTTTTTTTTTTTTTTTTTTCAGCTCGTCCCGGGCTGGTAAACCGGCGCGGGTTGCGGGTGAAGGGTTTTGGGGGGGAGCGCGGTGGCTTCCAGCCCTACCTGCTGCCCCGGCCCTGCCCCGCCCGGGCGGCGGCCGCGGCCGCGTAGCGGGGCGCAGGTGCGGACCAGGGGGCGCGGAGCGGCCTAGCGCGCCTCGGCCCCGGCGCCTCGGCGGGGCGGGCAGGGCCCAACGCCGTGCCCCGGGGCTGGGGGGCGGGGGAGGGAGGGGACACCCACACCCACGGGGGGGGACACGCAGGGGCCGGCCGGCTGCTGCAGGACGGGGCGCCGGCACCGCGCCTCGTCCCGGGAGGCAAAGGCCGGAGCTCGGCTGCGGGCAGCTCAGCGCCGGTTGCCGAGGGGTCCCTCTAGACCCAGCATTTCAAAAATATGCACGCGCGCCTATATGCATTTATTTATGTTTGCGCTGAGGAGAAAAGAGCGGTGTCTTCGTCTCGTCCTCCCGTACCCGGCCCGGAGCAGGGCTGGCAGTGGCTAGCAGCTGATGGTGGCCAGGGCCGGGGGAAGGGGGCAGAGGAAGAGATTACGTTCTTTGGGAAATTAATTACATCGCGATCGTATTCCAGGAGATTTATCTAAACTGCAAAAGGGGGAAGGGGGGGAAAGGCAGCTAGCCCCCCAGGAAGGATTCACCCAGGCCTCTTCCCCACGCACCAAACCAGGAAGAATAGAAATGAAAGAAAGACGAGGGAATTTTTTTACTCTCCCCCCCCCCCCCCCCCGCCCCTCCATGTGCAAACGCTCTCCATGACTAGATCTTGACTGTTTGTGGCAACTTATAAAACTATAAAGCTCTCGCTGCCAGGAACAGCACGATCCTGGATGTGCTGATTTGAGCAATTGCTCTTCTTTCCTACCATATAGGGCAGTACTTTACAAAGTGCTCTCTCTTCCCTTGCACCCTGCCCAGCTTCCTCCAGCCTGGCCCTGCGTACCCACAGGCGTGCAAATGCACGCGTCTAAGACACGCGTGCGTGCGTATAGCTCTTCGGCGAGTGCGTGTGTGAAGGGATGCATATATTTATAAGACATATTCTTTCCTGTTCCCCGTGTGGATGTAGAAAGGGAGGGGGGGGGGGGATGTAATGGAGAGTGTGCGAACGAGTATTTATGGCTCCGCGAGTCCGGAGAGGAGCTGATGAGCGGTATCATCGTTTGGCTTCAGCAGTGTGCTCGCAGTCGGAGAGGCTGGCTTGCGTTACAAAGCCTGCCTTCCCTGCCCTCCCGCCTTCCTCCTGCCTTCCCTGCCTGCCTTCCCTGCCCTCCCGCCTTCCTCCTGCCTTCCCTGCCTGCCTTCCCTGCCCTCCCGCCTTCCTCCTGCCTTCCCCGCCTGCCCGCCGGCCGCGGGAGGAGACGGGGCCGGAGCGGGAGGGGGCGGGCCCGCCGCGCTATGCAGATGAGCGGCGGTGACGGACAGCTCTGTTTTCCAATGTCCCTCAGAAACTCGAGTGCTCCTTCCCTCAACTCTTCACTTCAGACTCTATACTTCCCCCAAAATACAGGCTCGCAGGCGCTGGGGGAGCTGGCTAGCTGGCTGGGAGAACTCCATATGCAGCAGCCACTTTTCTGATTTCGGGGACTCGCTTCTCTCTCTCCCTCTCTCTCTCCCCCTCTCCCCTTCTGTTTCTCTCCCTGTCTCTATCTCTCTTGCTCTTTTTATTAACCCTCTCCTCTTCCATCTCTCCCAGATGCCCTTCCCCTCCCGGTTAGATTTCTGACCGCTCGATTTATTTTCCCTTTTTTTTTTTTTTTTTTTTTTTTTTTTTTTTGTCGGGGGGGGTGTGGTGGGTGTTTTGTTTTGTTTTGTTTTGTTTTTTTCCTGTTTGTTTTTATTCTGACTGGGTGCGCATGGGGGGGAGCATATAACAATTCTGATTCTCTACATAACTGCACAGAGCCAACCGGGGGGGGGGGGGGGGGGGAGAGAGAGAGAGAGAGAGAGAGAGAGAAAGAGAGAGAGAGAGTGAGAGAGAGAGAGAGAGAGGGCGGGCGGGAGAGAGGGAGAGGGAGAGCACGAAAGCAGCGCCAGGAGCAGCGGCAGCAGCAGGGCCGGTCACCCTCGCCCCCTCCCTGCTCCTGTGCACGCCAGTGCAAGCCATGTCCTATCCTCAGGGTTACCTCTACCAGCCCCCCGGCTCGCTGGCTCTGTACTCCTGCCCGGCGTACGGGGCGTCGGCGCTGGCGGCCCCCAGGAGCGAGGAGCTGGCCAGGTCTTCGTCGGGATCGGCGTTCAGCCCTTACCCGGGATCGGCAGCTTTCACCGCCCAGGCGGCGGCCACAGGCTTCACCAGCCCGCTCCAGTACTCCACAGACCCCGCCACGGGATTCCCCTCCTACATGGTAACTACCGAAGAGAAACCCTCTCCTTCTTCATTAGCATCCGCATTCTCATCCTCATCATCTTCAGCCTCTCTCCTCACACACTCACCATCAGCCCCCGACACCACGCCGCCGCACAGCCGGGCGCCCCGCTCCGCCGCCGCCTCCGCCAGCCGCGCACCGCGCTGCGCGCCGCCTGGCAGCCCGGCCGGGGCCGGCGGAGACGCGCGGAGCCGGGCGGAGCGGAGCGGAGCGGAGCGGAGCGGCGGGCCGGGGCCGGGGCCGGGGCCGGGGCCGGGGCCGGGGCCGGGGCCGGGGCCGGGGCTCCGCCTCGCTCCGCGCCCCAGCCGAGCGCGGTGCCGGCGGGCCTGGGACCCGGGCTCGCCCCGCCGTTCGCGGAGCCGCGCGGGCGCCCCGATTAAAGAAATACGGATCGTCTCAGTCAGTTGGGTTAGATGCTTTCATTCTCTCTCCCCCCACCACCCCCCCGCTTTCGCTGCTTTTTTTTTTTTTTTTTTTTTTTTTCCCTTTTCGCTGTGGTAGGATAGGGGAGGGTTTCTTTTTTTCTTCTTTTTTTTTTTTTTTTTTTCCTTTTTTTTTTTTTTTAAAAAAAATTCTTCTTCTCCTTTTCTCTTTCCCCCCCCCCCTCTCTTTTTAAGTCGGTGTTTAGAGGCGCTGCGGGCTTTATCCCCGTGTGGTTTTATTTACTTTCAGTGTGTTTTGTGCTAATGGTTTAACTGGATTTTAGGAATGAAAAGGAGCATCTGTTTGCGATCTGTGAGCTTCGCTTAAGCCCAAGATGGTTGTGGTGGCCGCAGTTTCGGATTTCACTTTCTTCTTATTAGTTAAAAGGATCATTTGCAATTGCGTGTGTGTGTATTCTGTGCATAAACTATATAAATAAAACCATAAACTACATAAATAAACTGCACGTCTAGATGGTTATATAGTTTTATAAACACACACACACAGAGTCAGACACGTATCTAGTCCGTACACACAAAGACCTGTGCCCGGAATTTGAGACTGGAGAGCCGCTGTCGAGATCCTAGGAGGGGATGGCAGCGGGGTAGTTCGCTCTCCCTGCAAAGTGACAGGGAAACTACTTGCTTTCTGTCTGTAAAATACAGTGCATCAACTGTCGTGCGGTCTTTATTCGGGGCGGTAGAGAAGATCTGAGGATCTCGCTTGCTTGTTTTTCCTGTTGAGAAGCAGTAGGCGAGAGGCTGGAAGTTGCAGCGAGGTTGTGAACTGTGCGGGATATTGGGTGATGTTGCGCCTGCGACTCGCCGATCTGTGGAATTCGGAGACGTGCTGAAAGTTAGCAAGTTCCTTAGCGATATCTTTAACTTTTCTTGCATTATGCAGACTCAAATAAGCGCAATTTAAACGTTAAAGGGCGAATTAAAATGCTAATTACATCGCATTTGAACAATTCGAAACGGTGCATATCTTCTGATTTGCAAATTGGATTTGCAATGCATTAGTGCAGTGAATTGCTAAGTGGCGGCTTTGTTGTATTTTCTATAGCAAAAAAGGAAACATCTTTTGAACCTTTGAGAGAAATGTAGATATCAAGACGCTACCTGTAGGGCCTTTAAAATGTCTACGGGGTTCAAAAATTATATTGGGAAATATTCAATTACAAGGAGCTGAAATTAGTCAGAAAGATTAAAACATCGCCGATTTTAACCGCGTGTGCCTGTGTGCTGGGCGGAGGAAGGAGGGGGGGAATCGCAACTTAATGGCCTTTGGGTGCCGCTTCTCCCCCTCATAGAATATGGATACAAGACACCATCCCGGGGAAATACAAATATAACCGCCGATCTCGCCTTGACAACTTACTAATGGCTATCAGCAATAACAAATTGCCAACCCCACCGTTTTGTTCTGTCCAGGGCTCCCCTTACGACGCCCATACGACGGGGATGACCGGAGCCATCAGCTACCACCCGTACGGCAGCCCTGCCTACCCCTACCAGCTCAACGACCCCGCGTACAGGAAAAACGCCACCCGCGACGCCACGGCCACGCTGAAGGCCTGGCTGCAGGAGCACCGCAAGAACCCCTACCCCACCAAGGGCGAGAAGATCATGCTGGCCATCATCACCAAGATGACCCTCACCCAGGTCTCCACCTGGTTCGCCAACGCCCGCCGGCGGCTCAAGAAGGAGAACAAGATGACCTGGGCCCCGCGGAACAAGAGCGAGGACGAGGACGACGACGAAGGCGACGGGGCGAGGAGTAAAGAGGAGAGTCCCGAGAAAATGCCCGAGAGCAACGAAACCTCCGCGGAGGACGAAGGTGGGCGCGGGGTGACCGCGGCCGCGGCAGGGTGGCCCCATCCCGCCCCGTCGCGTCCCCCCGGGAGCGGGGCAGCGGGGAAGGGGAGGGGGTGGGGGGGGAGGGATGTCGAGCCGTGGGGGGGGAAGAGGGGGGAGCGGCGGCGGCGTTTAACAAAAGCGCCCCCAAAACATGCCCTGTCCCGTCCGGGCGCTTGTCGCCGCGCATTGCCGGTGGCCGGGGGGGGGGGGGGGGGGGGGGGGGGCGGTGCGGGGCGCCGCGGCGGGGCTAACCCCTGGGGGAGGATGCTGCTTGAAGCGGGATTGCGGGGGAAAAGGCCGGGACGGTTCGCGTGTCCCTGCCCGCCGCGGCCGTGCTCGCTTCTCGCCCGCTGCCTTTCACCTCCCCCCCCGCCGCCCTTCCCCCCCCCCCCCCCCCCCCCCATCCCTGACTGTGCGTTTCTGTGCCCGGCGGACCCTTGCAGGGATCAGCTTGCAAGTCGACTCGCTGACGGACCACTCCTGCTCCGCCGAGTCGGACGGCGAGAAGCTGCCCTGCCGAGCGGGCGACCCCCTCTGCGAGTCGGGCTCGGAGTGCAAGGACAAGTACGAGGACATCGAGGAGGAGGAGGAGGAGGACGACGACGACGACGACGAGGACGAGGAGGACATCGAGGAGGACGACGGCGGCGGCGGGGAGCGCGACCCGCCGGCCAAACCCGCCACCTCCTCGCCGCTGGCGGCCGTGGAGGCCCCGCTCCTCGGCCACCCGCACGCCGACGCCGCCCGCAGCGCCAGCAAGGCCTCCCCCGGCCCCCCGACGCCGGCCAGCAAACCCAAGCTCTGGTCGCTGGCCGAAATCGCCACCTCGGACCTCAAGAGCCAGACCCTGGGCCAAGGCTGCCAGCCCGCGCCTCTCCCCTCGGCCACCCCCGCCTCCGCCCCGCACAGCGCTGCCTACTCGCCCTCCTCCCTCCTGGGGAGGCATATTTATTACACCTCACCTTTTTACAGCAACTATACAAACTATGGGAACTTTAACGCTCTCCAGAGCCAGGGAATCCTGAGGTACAACTCCGCAGCAGTGGCTTCAAACGAGGGACTAAGTCAGACTGTCCTAAATGCCAGCTCTGTCCACAAGCAGAGCAGTGACTCTTTGAAAACGATCACTAACCAGCTAGAACAACATTACAGGCCCTCTAGTTATGACTCTAAGAAAGGTAGGTGACTTGTTTTTGCCGCTTTCTTCCCCCTTCTCCCTCGCCCTCCTGCCCCGACCCGTACAAGTCCTTTACACGCTGTAAATACCGAAACCTTCTCCGGAGAAAACAGTGAGAGCTCATGGCCACCGGTACCACCGCCGAGAGAAGATGGGCAATAGTATAATCCGGGGATTAAAACGGTGTGTCGCCGTCCCATCGATACCTGCCTCTAAGCACTGAGAGAGGAAATGTGAAAGACGACTTTTAAAGCAGTCTCACAGGCTGCAGACACAGCTCTTCAAAGTAATTTTTTTTTAAATAAAAACTACACACAAAGATATCCAGGGAACGCTGGTGTCATTGTTTGTATTTGTTTGTTTTTTTTTTTTTTTTTTTTTTTTTCCCGACAAACTGTTTTGCTCTCTTTGTTTCCAGTACTCTCACGTTTTTTTCTGCAGCTTTGGGTTCAGATAATTGCTGACCTTGGACGTGAAATTATGTGGAGCATGACATTTTTAACTTTGGGTTTTTTTTTTTTTTTTTTGATTGTTGTTTTCTGTTGCTCCCACCCCCATCCCCCCACCCTCACCCCCCCCTACCCATGAAAAAGTTTTGCATTAATATGATTGTCATCATATGCTAACAAAATACTCGAGATACGGGCGATTATAACATACTGGCCAGCCTTTTAAATGACCTGGCTAGGAATTCTGCACAAGTGAGGGTTGGGACCTACACAGACTGTATAATCTAGTTATCTGGCTGTGTCGTGTGACTAACTGACGGTTATATTTTGACAGATCCCACTGAAGTCTGCACAGTAGGAGTACAACCATACCTATAGAAGTGCAATCACACAGCAATGCAAGTAAGTGAGAACATTTTCTCTTACACTGATCATTTGGCATCAGGTCTGAGACGCTGCACAGTTCTAGACTTGCTTAACGTTCATTTCTTGCTTCATTACTTAAGAGTCTGATTACGAAGTAAGACACTGTTTTCTGCTGTTTTTTTAAACCTCTCATTACGACTTCTCTTTCTCGGCTTTCTCTTAATTTTAAAGTCAGGTTAGACAGTTCCCTCACCTTGCATACTCTTTGCTTGTGTAAGGCAAAGCCGTAAGGACTATGTAAATGTTACGGAAAGAAAGCTTTAGAAAAAAAATACCTTTGAAGGTATTGTTGTTTAAAAATAAAGTGCTTGTGCTCACGTGGCAGTGCTAAAATTGTGCATTCCGAGTGAGGCTTCACGCAGTGAGCGTGGATTTAAAACAAAAAGAGACAATTATTAGAGACCGACATGTGTCTTAAGTAGGGTATGTTGTTGAGGAACTGCTTATTGCCTAGCTAGCAATGGCACTTTTAATACCTCCAGTATTTAGGGCTAAAGAAACAGCAACAAAAAAAAAAAATCGCCTCGACGATATTTTTTCAACTAATTATTTTGTCACAAGAAATTAGACGAGTAAGATTTTTTGCCTTTTTTTTTTTCTTTTTTTTTCCCCTCCCCGTTTAATGGTGTTAGAGTGTAATTGAAGGATTTTTGGATGATCTGGTTTTTCCCTTGGTCCACAGGTAGGTGTCACAATTGCTTTGAAAAAAGTCAGCAAGCCATCATCTCTCCCCGAGCTAATATATATAACAAATCTCTAAATCCGGATCACATCTTGTGCCACTGTATAAAAGAAGACCACAGAGCACTATTAAATCTTCAGACTCTAATTATTAAACCAGAATTTTGTTGGACATATGTGAGTTTGCTGGTATAGTATAGTTTCCCCAATGTATGTGTGACTTTTGAAAACAGATCTGTTTTTCTCAGGATATCTTGAATTGATCACTTCATTGCCACGGTATATATTCGATAGGTGTGATAGGATTTATTGTAAAATTTATTTGTAAAAGATGTATACAGTAGAGTTAATAAAGACGTGATTGGAGAACTTGAGTCCTTACAAAGTGGAAACAAATTTGATATTTATTTTTGTAACGATATAAAGCTTCTAGTAATTTATGCAAGTTGTATTGCAATGGAATCTGAACTTTTTGTAAATAAATTTTGCCTGGTTTTTATTTGAAACGTTGATGGTTATACAATCTTTGGTTGTTTAACGAGAATTCTTTACTAATTTATATCTCTAATTGTAAATAAAAACAGACTAGTCTGCAACAATATGGTGTTTTTCGTTCATTCCCCCCCAAATGATAATCTATTATTTAGAAAATGACAAAAGTTGCGATTTCACTAGTAGATCTTAGACCATAAAATAAGTAAGCAATTTAAATATGTTGCAAAGATATGCTTTGCATAAATTAATTCCTTCTGGGTTGTTCCGTTATACTTAAGCTTTAAATACACACATGTGTGCAAATACGTATTTGTATATATACATGCATATGCATAGGGAGAATTATGTGAATACATGCATGTTTCTTATAAACTATTTCTGTTGGGTGTGAAGTAGCTCTTTATTTGACTTAACATTATTTAAATACACCATTTCTAGGAAAAAAAAATAATTATAATCAGCTACGGTTTATTTCTAATTTCTTTGTTTCTGCTTCTGGCTAAAATATGGAAAAACATTTAAAAAAAAAAAAGTCTAATTCCCTTTTTTTTTTTTAATGATTTCCCCCCCTTTTCTTTATATCACTAAACCATATCTTTGCAGTTGCATTAGAAATCCACTTTGATTGGGCTCATAAAATCAACTAGCTAATAATTCTAATTTTTAGTAAAATAATGGGAATCTTCATATAAAATCATTTCAGAAAAGAAACGAACAATCATTTATTTTCCCCAAAAGATAAATTGAGTGAATATAACTTACGGTTATAAAACAAGAATAATAGCTTCTTAGATTGCCCTTTAATCAATCATACACTTATTTTTCAAGAGGCTCATCTATTTTATTCCATGATTAATAATGTTCCAGCGTGAGAGCATTATTAGATCCCAGCAGGGGAGATCCTGAATGCTTTTAGCTGCTTTGGAATGGTCAGTTGGGGTTCATTATGGTCTGATATTGAACAATTTATAAAATCTTGTCTAAACATCTGCCAGCTCAGATAGGCCGATGTGTCTGAAGATGGGAAATTGCTGGACCAGTTGATATTGACAAACGGATCTCTCTCCAGTGGCTTTTTGTTCAGTGAAAATTAGTGGCCTCTTGCTCAGGTCTTGTTAGAAAGGGCATTTGAAAGTGATCTTAGATACTTCAGGCATCAGCCTTGGGAATGTTAACTGGATAAAGAGCCGTGCTAGTCTGGAGTCAGGAAATATGCTGTGATTATATTAAATAGGGGGAAAGGAAGCTGTTTTTCTTAAATACAGATATGCAATTCCCATGATCCATCTTCCCCTGCACCCCCACCCTTCGTATTTTACCCCTATAAAGATGTCCAATTGTTTGAGAAAAAGCATGTGTTTTTCAGCTGATAGGGCAGGAATTAATATTATAATTCTGGAAAACTCTGGGATTCATCTAACTAAATACAAAACACTGAAGAGCTTTGCAGCTGAAGGCCTACTCATCTTCTTATGATGTTTGTAGAATGATGCTTCTTTGCTCCTGTAACATCCTGTTTTTCATTGAGGTAAAATGCAATTGTATCTGCGTGCAGTGTGTAGTCCAATTAGAGAAGCAGCTAAGAAGTAATTCAGTTTTTCCCCTCCAATTTAGCATATGATCTAGATGCAAATATTTACTATAGTCATCCTCAACCGTCTTTACTGTGCACTTTAGGAAGATTTTATGGAGGGACTTTTTATGTTGGGGCAGATGCCTAAACTTTCTTTTCCCCACTCTTACTCCTACTCCATCCGCCCCCACCACCCACGTTTCATGTTCCAGGTCTCTGTTGGACACAACGTGTACATTTCAATTGGTAAAAACCAAAAGCTGTGGCAGAGATTAAAAAAGGCTAACGACATTCCTTTGATGTTTATACGCCCAAAGACTTATAAAAGATTTCCATAATTTACCCACCCTTGCTAGCATTTAGACCTGGATTTCTTTCTGGAAAGAAAAGTAGAAAGACTTGGAAAACTTGCTTTTAAGTATTCACTATGTATGTAAAACCCATTGGACTTCTCTCATCCTCTGAGAAATTCACGAATGGTTCATGGATGCAGATGGGCGACACCCAAATGATTTGGCAAATAAACTTATTTTCTAAACAAAAGATTAATGGGCAAGTACTGCATATTCGACGTCATTTGAGATTTAATAATCAAAACTGAAAGCAGGAGGGAAGTGTAGCCTTGCTGTAGTGCTGGCACAAACAATGCGATTATTTCAGTATAGCAAGACAGGGATGAACGATAAAATACATCACTTTGTGTAGGGTTTATTTCATAACGATGCTAATCAGCCCGCTGGGACTAAAATCTCACACCCTTTTCTATATTTACTCTCTCTCCCCCCACCCTCTCCCCTCGTTTCTGTGCTCGTTTTGGAGCGGGAAAGACAAACCCTCCCCTCTTCGGGGCCAGAGGTTTCATTAGAGCTGATTTATTGAAATTCAGGCTTTAATCTCAGGTGGGATCCCAGAGGAATTGGCGCTGTCGTCAAGTAGGAAGAGGGTCGCTTTCCACTTTGCACTTCCTGGGCTGCTTTTTTCCTCGCTCCCTGCAAATGTCAACATTTGTTCTCAATAAGAGAGTTACTGTTTCAGGAAAGCTGCTCACCAACTGCCTTTTTGAGAGCAGAAAAAAAAAAAAAAGCGTCGCCCACCTTTGTTTGGCCGGAGACTGGGGGGAAGGGACGGGGATGGAGGTAACACGCAGCCCAGGCCAGCAGCGGACAGACAGACAGACAGACGTGGGAATTTCTGCTGCACACCAGCTCGCGGCTGGAGGTGAAACGGCCCGGCTAAGGGGCAAGTTAATATAAAGCGCAATGGGTGTCTGCTCCAGCTGCATCTGTAGCCACTGACGTGTGTAGCCCCTGTTAGAGAGAGGGAGACTGCACTGGAAAAAAATAATAATAAGTAACAAAAAAGAGAACTGCCTTCCCAAACGTCCACACGAGGAGGAGGGGTCCAGGTTTTGGGCGTGAAGGGTGATTTTCAGGTGAAGAAACAAATTGCAAGGTGCAGCGTCTGATTTAGCCCTACCTGGCGGCACCCACCGCCCTAACAGGCCGGCGGGTGGCTCCCGGCGGGGGGGCGGGAGCGGAGAGGAGGGGAACGACCCCTCGGTGCTCAACCTCAAGGGAGAAACAACCGCCCCCCACCTCCCCCCCCCCCCCCCTAAAAAAAAAAAAAAAAAACCACAAACAGCAAAAAACACCCAAAACCAAACCGTCTCACCACTGGAAGTTTCTGCCTCGGTCACCACATGTTACATCTCACTTAAAGGCGGTTCAGACTTATCGCGCCGCTGAGGAATTGGGAAAGGGATGTAATCAATATCGGGAGGATTTTATTGCTTATTAACTTTTGGGGAGAGAAAAAAAAAAAAAAAAAGGAAGCAGAATTTGCATATAGGTCGATTCGTTGCCTTCTGCATTCAGACATTTCTCGGGAGCTTGGGCAAGCTTCTCACGATCCAGTTGGTCGAAAAGAGCCTTTCCATTCTAGGAATTGAATAATGACGGTAAAAAAATATTGTTACTAACAGTAATATTGCACTTTAAGTACTAGGATGTTCACCGCTTTGTTTTTAATCCGGTAACTAATAACTTGGGTATGTTTCCGGCTTCTAAAGAAATAAAAGCGAGGCAAAAAAAAAAAAAAAAGGTTAAGAAACAAAAGGATCCACGGTGAATATTCAAAGCACCCATGCATCTAATCCCTGATTATTACTCGGCGGCTCTGAAGCAGAGTCTTTATTAAAACTACCGAGGGAAGGCGCGATCGGGGCACACGCTGCCGGGGCTGCAGCCCGGAGCTGTGGGCAGGCTCGGGGCGTGGGGGGGGGCTGAGGCTGGGGGCTCTTACCTGTAAACGCCCTGGCCGAGGTGACAGCCGGGCTCCCGTAATCTGGCCCCGTCGCCGTTCCCCCCCCAACCCCCCCCCCCCAGCCGTGACTCACGGGGGAATGTCACCGTTTCACATCCAATCCGGGCCGAGCCGGCTGCATTTTCCCTTCGCAAAAGTGAGGGACGGAGGGACGCGGCCGCTCTGCCTCGGGGGCGGCCACTGTTAATTTTGCTCCCTTAGGAGTTTGGGGACAGAAAAGAAAGGAAAGGGGGGGCCGTTGGGGGGGGTGGGGGGGAAGGGGCGGTCACCCCGGCCCAGCCCTCCTCGGAAAGGCAGGAGCGCAGGCCGGCAGCGAAAGTCACTTCTGCTCCACCCGGGCTTGTGTCATCCGTGACGGGGGGTTTCAAAATACTCCCGAATAGTTGGGGAAAAAAAAAAAAAAAAAAAGTCTTGCTGCTCCTCGTACGGCGGCTGTGTGGATACTGTCGCTGCTCGGGCTCTTAAAAAACGCCCAGGGAAAAAAAAAATATATGCATTTTTATAGAGAGATAAATTGACAATTTATTGTGTATAACTTCTGATCAATTATTAATCGTTAGTGTCAACAACAGGGTTATAATTACCTTCAGTTATTTAAAGGAATATTTATTTTTTCTTCTCTCTGATCTGGTAATTAGTTAATACTCTGGAGTAATGAATTCAAAGCTGATTTGGTAATGATTGAGACAGGTTTCTTCCCTCTCTTTTGGCAGTCCCCCTCACGGCGGGGGGGGTGTGGGGGGGAAGAAGGAGGGAGGTGTTTCCCCCGTTTGCAGAAAAAGTCCATGTAAAGGCAAATCGCGACGCGTTTCACTTTTCAGACCATAAATAACGATTCTGGGACGAAAAGGGCGAAATGACAAACAAATAGAGCGCAGCTGGGATGAATAAGGCCGATCAAAGTTAGCGGGGGCCGACGCTTCCCGCAGCCGCAGCAGGTCTGAGTCCCATAAAGGTGCCAGCAACTCTTACCTCTCTCCCTGAGATCAAGGGAGAGGGCGAGAAGGAGAAGGACATTTTAACCCCCTGACATCTTTTCGCGAGAGGAGGAAAAAAAAATAAAAAAAAAAAAAAAAAAAAGAGAGAGGAAGCAGGGAGCAGAGTATTTCTTATTTGGGGGGGTCCTCAATGCCTTCACGGTCGTCAGGGGAAGGGGAGGGGGATGCTTTACCTGGAGTCCACAAAGCCCCCCGCCAGGCACGCGTGGGATGCGCGGGGCAGCGAAGCAGCGTAATGCAGGGCTGGGCTCCGCTCCTCGGCGCGGAAGAGGCACAGCCTTGCGCGTTTAAACGATCCTGAACTCGGCTCAGCCCTGGGGTTGGGGAAGCAAGAAATTATTATTACTCTTTACCCCCCCCCCCCCCCCCCCCCCCACACACACACCTTGAGGGATCTCTGTATTATTTCGTCGTGAAGAAGAGCAGCGAAAGGGCAGAGCCCGCAGGGACCGCGGCTGCCGCCTTGCCCCCGGGTCTCGGGGCGTGGGTAACCCCACTCCTCCCCGGGCCTGGGACCTGGCAGCCACCGGTGGGGTAGCCACTGGAGAGCCCCCCTACACCCCCCACCCCCACCCCCCATACAGGCGTGAGCCGAGGTGGAAACTCCATCGTTGCCCCCCTCCCCGCTTTTCTCCAGACCTCCGCTTAATTTAGCGTCAGATGAGGTCTCGGAGCCAAAAGCACTTTTCGTTTTTAGCGCGATGGGGCTGATTTTACGGCAGACCTGCGTGAGGTGGAATACGTGTATCTGATATTATATAAAATAGTCACATGTTTTATATATAAAATGTTTCCCCCGTGCAACAAAACTGCAGTGGGAATTGCAGTGCAAAATGCAAGTTTTAAAATTAATTAATCCTGACAGGTTTGACATCGCCCGGCTCCCTTTTTCCTGCAACTCCGTCCGCAAATGAATGCCGCTTCCAGAGTGTATGTTTTAATTTGTCACATCAAGGCAATAAAAGGCAGCAATATATACTTAAGCCAGTTAACATTGTAATAACAGGTTTAAAGGAGCAATTAAATGGTAGTGAGTCGCATGTCTGACTTTCTATAGGCATTACCACATCAATGGTACCTTTTAGACTGACTATAACTTAGCATGATTGTCTCAATTAGTTTAGCTACATGATAGTTATTGTGAACTCTTTGTGAGTAATCAATGTTACGCAAGCTTAGGGGAAGGAATCTTTAATAGGGGTGAGCAGCAGCTAAGTAACACAGACCTCCTATTTCCAAAACACACCTTTCTCTCTCTTTTTTTTTTTTTTTTTTTTTACTCCTTTATTTTTTCTCTTCTCTTCATTCCTTCCCCCAACACGAAAAAAAAAAAAAAAAAGGTAATTTATAGTCTTATAAATCTGTTTCCGAGATCAGTGTAGCTGAACGTAGATTTACAGGCAACTAACGACTCCTGCCGTGGCTTGATAAACGCAACAGCCGCCTCAGTTCAGCGCGGATGGCGAGGCACCCCTGCGACGCTTCTCCTTTTATTTTTTGTAGTGGTGTGTGTCGTGGCTGCTCATTGTCACGATTTAGCCCCGAGCCACAACTAACCTTGAGGGATGCTCCCATCAAGTGACATGTGGGTACACAACGCTGACGGGCGCCCAAATTTCCCGGTGTTAACGCCGGAGCCGGCCGGGATCGGCGGGTTGCGGAGAGAGACCCTGGGGTGCGTGTAAACCAGAAACGGGTGTGGAGGTGTGGATGTTGCGGGGCGTGTGTGTGTGTGTGTGTGTGTCAGAACGAAGGGCAGAGCGGGGAATGACCGCAAAGCGGGGTTATAAATACGATATAATGCAGAGAGAAAGGTCCTGCCGGAACAACCGGCCGTTTAGTAACTTATTATTTCTCCTCCACCTACAGACTCTCTCAATAAATACCGAGTCATGGGTGGCTAATGCAAAATACAGAGGGCTGCAAATTTAGTGGGAGTTGCGTGAACTGCTTCAAAACGCTAACAAGTTTGTAATGTTGTCTGTCACGGGGGGGCGGGGGGGTGGTGGGGGGAAGAACGAGAGAGAGTGTACCATTAAAATTTAAGATAAACAAGATGCAGGGGTATTTCTGTTGGTGAAGTTATTCTCATTAGTCCTAACAATGTCTCACCACTAGACAAGGCTGGAGTCAGCCTCAGTCTCAAGACTTCAGATCTGCAAGCTTTTTTTTTTTTTTTTTTTTGCATGCACATTACATTTCTGTCATGCTTTGCAGCAGAACACGATATCCCCAAAGAACCCAAAGAAGAAAAAAAATACTCTGACAGCAACCATTAGTTAAGAGTGCAATGAATAAACCCCTTGCACAAGAGTATCAGGACTAATTAAGATTCTGTTTAGCAGCCCTGGATGGAATGTTAATGTAGCTTTGACTAACTGGGAATAAGCAGGGGGAAAAACTGCATTTTAAGAGGAATGCTGGAGTGATAACATCTCTCACTTCTTCTGTCCAAGGTCTGCCCAAGCCTGTTACAAAGTCATTATCTCAAATTACTCCTGTACTTCATTTTTAGAGGGTTTGGGCAAGATCCCCTGGCGTTGAAGCGCTGCCTAGAGCCTCACAAAGCCAATACTCTCTAAGGGGATAAAGGCTGAATCAACCCACTATCTCTACCTTCGAGAGTTTGCTGGTACCAGTTCCTTGGACAAATACAGCCAGGATTCTGGAGGCAGATTAGGATCTATTGCTGGCGTCTCCTCGCAAATCCCTAAAGGGTTTTTGACCCTTTGAAGTTTCGTCTATTTTGCTTACACAGAAGTTTACATGATTAAGTCAGGATTTTACAAGGCTCAACAAGGCAAATTTAGTCACCTCGGAACACTCAACACACACACAAAAAAGTAAAATATCCAGTTGTCCTGCTACTCGTTTAGCTTCAGAAATACTAGCATACTGTGATATTTACACTGATTAGTATAATAAAGGAGAAAAATTTCTGCAAGACTGATTCAGCAGGGGAGGGTAAAAAAAAATCCTCTTCCCCCACGGAGATGATGATGATGATGATTATTATTATTATTTACTATTATTATTTTCAGCCTTTGATATAGTAATTTTCCCCCCCTCCCCCGCCTCCATTCCCAATGGTCATAAATGAAGCTATGTTTCTCGGAGAGTGGATAAAATTTCCCGAAGTCCTTTCCAGTCTTCCTGACATTTCCAGCCTGCCTTCACTCTTAGCCAGGCAGTTGCGATTTTTCACTGGCGAGAGACAAACCCGCCTAATCCTTCCTTCTGAAGTAAACTTTTGCAAACGCTTTACTTGTTGAAAGCAGCCTTGCATAGTGCAAATCTTTGCTAGGAAGGAGAGGGCTGGGAATTGACAGCGTAAACAGGAGAGGAGGAGCAGAGCTCTTTCTCAGGGAATAGATACCTATTTAAAGAAGTCTCCTGCAATCGGAGCGGATGGGCTGCAGCTAGAGACTGCAGTTGCATCTGGCCCACCATACTTGCATCGCCGTTTGTGGAGTATAAACAATCTCTTTTCCTCTCTCTCTCTCCCTTTCTCTCTTCCTCTCTCCCCCTCTCCCACCAGAGGGAAGATTGCTCTGCTAATGGATTACTGCTGCAGAGTTATTTTCCACAAAGGAATGAATGATCTGTTCAGACTCTTAATAATTGATCATCACAATAATAATAATGATACTTCTACTACTACTACTACTAAAAATAAATAAATAAACTGACCTGTCAGGCTGCAAAGTTTCTATAGCTGGATCAGCGAGTCGCAGGGACAAGCAGGGCAATCAAGCGAGCTGCAGATTTCTCTTCCTCAATTGATTTATAATTGATGAATGGATTTTCTTGTGCAGCTGCAGAGTGGTTAAAAACTATTGAAGGGGTAGGTGTTCTGGGAGGTGTTATTTTGTAAGGGAGACAGTTAGGAGTAACTGGGTGCGTTTATCAGCGGGAGATCTGAGCAAGCAACATGATTACATTAGCTGTTAGTGGCTAGGATTCAACTTTCCATAGGCCTCCAGTACCTGCAGCCTCGGAGGTGACTCCCATCGAAATGGGTCCCTGCCGGCACCCGGCCGCAGCGGGGCATTGCTCTGCCGCAGAGCTCCCCATTGATTTTGGCGAGGAGCGCTGCATCCATCTCAACGGCATGCCGTGTACCACTGCCCTGCCGTTCTGGCAGAAATCGGTCAGGTCTGGTTTTGCAAGAGAAGGGGGAGCAATATCTTGCAGCATTTCTCTCCCTCAGATGTTTAGAGGAAGCGGAAGGGATTTTCCCACTCTTTAAGGTGGGCATATTTCCCATTTCTGCTATGACTTTTCCCCTTCCCTGTAGGGATGTGCCTGGTAGTTAAAGCAGTGTGTCTTAAAGAGAGAGAAGCTTTAAAATGCATACCAAGATGCACAAAGCCACCGTGCCTCTGGATTTTTGGTGTTTACCACAGGTCTGGATGAACTTCAGGACCTGGTTCCTGAGTGGCGGGCTTTCCATATGTTCCAGATTCACATCGTAAACCATCTGGGCTTCAGTGTGGTACCTTGTTTTTATGATGCTCTTTGGGAAAAAAAAGTAAAAAGCCTTTAGAAAGTACAGGCCTTCAGGCATCAGGACCTCCCTGAATGCTTTGTAAAGGGGCTTCGGGCTGTATTCAAGAAGGGGACAAGATATAAATGGAATAGAAAAGTCTTATGTGGCTTTTTATCCTTGAGATCACCCGGCTTCAGGATCATGGTCTCTTTTGATCTTAAACTCGCTCAAGAAATCACGCGCTGCCTGTCATTCCTTACGTCTAGAAAGGCTTCAGCTTTCCCAGAAGCGAGGCGGTTATGCCCGACCGTGTTTGGGATGCTGACCCCAGCGTGCCCCCCACTCCAGGTCCTGGAAGGGCTTGGGCTGGTGCCCAACGGTGTTTGGGATGCTGACCCCAGCGTGCCCCCCACTCCAGGTCCTGGAAGGGCTTGGGCTGGTTGCACCGTCCCCCAGCAGGCCTCAATCGCCAGCCGCTGGCGGGAGGTGCCCACCTCGCCCTCCCCAGCGCACCTCGGATGGGATTGCTCCCGCTGGTGACAGCACAGCACAAACCCAGCGGCGAAACCTTTGGAGCAGGGACAGAAACCTTTTCCCAGCCTAGTGAGACTTAATTTCGAGGTGACGCAGCCACATCCCTGCACTGCCTTTCGCCCTCCGGCGCTGGGTCCCTCGCCTCCTTTTTCTGCACAGCCCCATCAGGGGAGGGGGAGCGACACACACCCCCCCCCTCCCCCCTTCCCCCTTCTTCACCTCTCTGTGAGAGAGGGGGGACAGAGACTTTCCCGGAGAGGCGGGCTCCAGCATATGGACATTCTCTTCCCTGAGCTTGGAGTCGTGCGCTCCTGTGGGGCGAGGAGATTTAAGCCACATTTTGCCACTTTTTGTATTTCCTATCGGACAGCTGCACACAGGTGAGGTGGCTTGGTGCCCAGGGAGGGGGCTGCTCCGGCCACAGCCCCCCACAGGCAGGGAGCTGGGGGGGCAGCTGCCGAAATGCAGGTGAGGCTCAGTCCCACTGACGGGGCGGTGAGAGGGAGCGCGAGGGGGAAGCTACGGGATTTAATTCCTCTTTTTCTCTTCCTGCTTGCTCTTATGCTGGGTGGGAAGAATCTTATTCTCAGCACATATTTCTTCTGGGGAAAAAAAACCAAAACCCAAATCCAAACCCTCTGCTCAGCAATATCTGTTTCTCCAGATGATGAGATTGTCTTTTTTTTGGTTTTTTTTTTTTTTTTTTGTTTGTTTGTTTGTTATTTTTTTTTGTTTTGTGGGTTTTCATTTGTCTTCTGATTTTTGAACTTCTTTTGCACCAAATTTTACACTGTAAATCTGGGAGAGGGGGATTCATTTATAAAATAATTAAATCTGGAATACTTACCTCATTACTCAGTTCCAAAGCCCTAGCTTTGAAGTAAAAAACCCCAACTAAATAAGTAAAACACTGAAATCTCACTTGACTTTAGAACATTATTACTGTCAGCAAAGTGACTGAATAATTACATTTCTATTTCTCCATGTTTAGTCGGCGTTAATGTCTGTAAGCTAGATCTTCTTGCTCCATTGGCCTACGTACAATTTAAAAAAATCTTGTTAGAGATGCAAAATGTGGCTATAAAGGAATAAAAATCGACCTCCCCTGGATTTTTTCATAGTAAATAATTTGAATTGCAGAATATTATTGGTGAACATGTAGGAACACATTATTTAGCTTTCTTACGCTGAATTTGGAAAGTTTGCCATTACGAATAAATTGTTTGTATTTTTTTACAACAGTTAAAAAAACTGTATAGTGGAATCCTCCAAACCGCCTTTGTGCAAGTCCCTTCTGAATTACAAACACACATAATTCTACTTCTGCTGACTTCGGTGGAAGTTAAATACTCAAGAAGTAGCATTCAAATGAACTTTTCTGTATCTGTAATAGCAAAACTGAAATTATAGTCCTGAAACTGGCATAACAGGAAAAAATGTTCATGCAAACTAATAAGCAGAAGAAACTACTAAGTTAAAAGCACAACTTTTTGGATGTTTTAGAGGACTAGAAACAATAAAAATGTCTGTGGAAATATGGTCTATAATATCCTTGAAAAATCCATACAGCTGAGTCCAATTTCTGTTATTGAATCCAGTCCTAAAAAAAGTGGTAAAGTGGAATTATTCATCCTTAAGTTATTTTAATGTAGTGTGCGTATAAACTTATTTTTATTAATGGAGTAGGTTTGTGATTCTGAAGATAATAAGTCACAGTGTAAATCCATAGTAAATTTGTTTTCAAGCTAATGAAAGGATTGGATAGCAGATAAATCTGTACATTTTGTCTCTGTATTTTTTATATTTTTTTCCTTTTATTTTTTTCTAATCCCTTCTGTAATGCTTGAGAATATTAAACATGAATGCATTAGGTGCCTGTGTGAGTCAGTGGGAAATACGGCTTCAGTCATCTTCTTCCATTTGCTTCCATTATCACACCGTCATTAGAATATTATAAGGTAAAAATATATAATGAATATACAATAAAAAATCAGTTGTGAGAAGCAGCTTCTTTTAAAATATATCAAATCCCTCATCAATACTGATAAAACGGTTTCTAACATTTTCCTATCGTGAATTAGCTATTTTTGCATTTAAAGGGAATAAAAGAGTTTGACAGTTCTAAAATCCAAAATCTAAACCACACAGATTGAATGCAAGCCTATTTAACTAAGCAGAAGAATTGTTTTTTTGGGAAATGCCACCTTCTGAGTGGAAAATTGCTACCATGAATATCTACCTTTGTACAGAATGAAGAGAAGTCCAGCGGAAAAAATCTGTATGGTCATATTAAGATCCCACAGCCATTATTTATGCAATAGCCACACTTCCAACTGCTTGAATGTAAAGACTAAATAAGTCAAAGCCTTTTTTTTTTTTTTTTTTTTTTAACCACTTTTTTTTTTTTTTATACTGCAATACACAGGATTCTCTGAATTGAGTCATGTAGTAGAGGACCACCCTCCAGGTGCCTCTGGAGCCCAAGACTGTGCTGATCATGCCTCCAAGGCACACTGGCCATATGACAAGGAAGGCTATTGTCCTGGGCTGGAGCTGGGGTGGTTCGGGAATTTTCTTCCAGAAATCTGCTGTGAGGCACTCTTCCATCTCCAGGTCTGTGCCATAGCTTCTCTCCCAGTCTATGATTCCAGATGCAGCTGGTTAGTGGATCACAGATCAGGTCAGGCAATTGCATTTGATGTGTGGGGGTCATATGTAAGACCCATATGTAAGAGAGAAGGAGGCGGGGGGGGGGGGGAGAGAGAGAGAAAATAACACTGCCTTCCAAATGTGCTAGGCACAAGCACAGTAAAAGGAAGATGTGTCGGGAATAGAATGGTACAAAGTGTGTGAGATCTGGTATTTCCCTGTGCATGTTATTTCCACATTTTTGAAAAAGATAAAAATAAGTTGTTCTGTAACTACCTCTTACCACCTATCATCAGCAGTAAGTATCCAGTGTTTTTCTGTATACACCTCATCAACTGAACTGAACAACCAGTATATTAGGTAGTGTCAGGCGGAGGAACTGGGACCATGCTGGCTGCTGGGAGCCCAGCCTAGCCACCTTCTCACCTCCGTTGCTGAAACCATCAGACATTTCTGGAACAGCATCTACTGGTGATAGGGAAAGACTTCTTGTTTCTTGTCAGACAGACTTAGCCATCACAGCAATTAGTTGGTGTTGGGAGTAAGGAAGGGCAACTCTTGTGAACCAGGCTGAACCTGAGAAAGTAAATAGTCTCAAGAAAAATGTGGTGTGTTTATACACAAGAAAGAGGAGGAAACCACATTTCTACCAAAATTAGAGCTTCATAATGTTCAGTCAGGATTTGCCTACATCCTGAGATGCAGCTATCAACTTGTAATACAATGTTGGCAATGCCCAGGTTAAAGGAAAACTATATATTTGTGAAATATATTTTACCTTGAAAGTGTGACATCACATTACTGTGGCTCTACAGAATTACATGTTAAACATATTAATCTCTTCAAATATGTTAATAATCCATGAATCAATACATAAGGATCTATGAGTTGACTTTAAGGGAATACGGTTGCCTTTATCTAAAAATGTAAACACATTTAGAGGTATAATAGATAAACCATGATGAGGTTAGGCTCTCCATCAATTCATTTAAGATTTATGCATGCAACTGTTGTTATACTTTGCAAGCTTTTCCTACATTAATTCCTTGAAAGGAAACCAGACTCTTAAGATAAAACAATGAAGATATTTTTTATCCAACTATTCAGATTTTTTTGCCATATATAAAGAGAATGAGACTGACTTCACAGTAATTTGAGAAAAAAAGTCCTC